CGAGCGCCAAAGGATACACAGAAATAAAGTAATAATAAAACAATTGCCACGCGAAAGTTTTTGGATTATACATGACAATCAAAGTGCTAAACGAGTGACGTTATACCGCTAGCGAAAACAACGCCTCAGGCTGTACCGGATTCATTCGATTTTATTTTCAACGCAAATTTTTGCCCTCCGATATATCCACTCCTGTTTTATCTATAAAATTCACCCCCTTCCACCCCGGGCAACTGCTTCTTTTATGAAACGCATCCCGTTAAATTAAAACCGTTTTATCCAGGAATAGATGATTGACTGTAATCCACATTTTCTATGTTCGGCGAAAGGGACACGTTTCAACCGGGGAATATTCCGAGCAAGCAAATCCCGTTGCTCGTAACGAGGATTATTTATTTTTCGTGACGCGTGCGTTCTAAAATTCCGGGCGCAACGTCATGGAAATAATAACGAGTTCGTTTTGAACACGATTCGATTGGAATGGTAACGTTTCGATCACCGAAATCACCGGGACCGGACGTCTCGATTATATACGCATCGATCATGCGTTTCATTACCCCGCCTGTCGTTGTTATCACTGACACGTGATCGTATGCCCATTCACGAACGTCTGTTTGTCTTTTCCTGTAACGATCGCTCGTTGATCGACGTTATCGATGTTTGCCCTACGCGAATCGGTAATTTTCTCGTTAAGATACCGCCCCGTCGGATTTATCGAGTTTAATTAAAATCGGCGAAGAATTTTTAGCGTTAAAGGAAAAATCATCGATTTCACGCGTGTTGTACAGGAAGAAGTTGATGAGGAAGTTTATACTGGCTTTCGAGAGGAATCTGCTGACAAGAGGTCGTTGTCAAAAATTTACAGGGGGATTTCTCGCGAGGCCAGCAAATCCTGTACGTCTCCAAGATTTTGATGAATGGATTTTCGGGCTGACTAACACGTTTTTACGCCGGGCAAGCCCGCAAAAATCCTCGAAGCTCCGATCAATTTCACGGTCATGAAGGATGCCGTGCACTATTACCCGTTTTATAAGGGTATCCCTCTTATCCTCGCGTTCCAGGGAGCTACTTGGGAAAGAATTATTGGAAATCCGCTGATTTCCAACGCGAAATTCAAACGAATGCAATTAATATTCTAAAAGGCGTTATCGAAGTTTTACTCCATTTCACCTGAAATTTTTTGCAAAAGAATGAAAATTATTCGAAGGATACGCGATGAAAGGTTTCAAGTATCGTGTCAGAATATTAATCGATTCGATTCATCCAGCGATACTTGTTTCTCTGCTCGCGACAGTGGAGTAAGATGCCGCTCAGTAGTATAGGTCGGCGAATAGTCAGACGCGGCTGAAGAACAGTATGGCTCTGTTACTCGTAACAAGTTAAGCTACTCGTAAATATTCTCTGCAACAAGGAGTATTTTGGAATAGCGAGGATGCCGATGGCGTTCGTGCCGCTTTATAGCTGGAAATTCGAGAGGAATGTGGAGCAATCGCGTGCCGAGTAGCTAGTAAGTAGGTATTCGGTATCTTGGATACAGGAAATAGCAAAGCGATGAAAAGTACTAAAGTAGTCGACAACCTTCAAAGAATAATAGGCTCGATAAACAAAGCCTCGTAGACTTTCATTATTGTATTACACGGGTAAAGGAATATCATAACATTTGGTATCCACAAATTTTCTGAAATTATACAAGGTGTTGCCAAAAAAGTCGACAGTTTGATAGAAAGAGTTGCCAGAAGTACAAGAGGGATTAATACAACAGAGTGCAATGATTATTGATCGAAAAGAGGGGTGTGAAAATTAATTAGAGAAACTAATTCGCAGCAGTTGATAATAAGATTGAAAATTTTCCAATTTGATTAAATTCAGTTTTGTCGATATTGACTGGCAATTATGAATTCTAATATTAGTATTCTAATATTAAGCGTAATTGATCGGGTAGGAAGAGAAGTAAAGTAGAAAACCCTTTGGTATTCGATTTATTCGCGGCGATCAGCTTGAATTTATCGGTTCGTTCTTGCCGAGCAATTCATAACTTTAAGCCGGTCACTTTGTCTAAGCTGTTGAGGTTTGATCGAAAGCGTCCAGCCATTTATCAGAGATCAATGTATAATCGATATCGATATCGAACCTGGTTTCTCTGCTGCGATGCAAACATTTGCATTGCTAGATATTTCAAAACGACAACAGTTAATGGTGTAGTTGTTGGAGCCGCGAGCTCTAACCCCTTTGACGTACCTGTAAATTTCACTGCACTTCGTAGCCCCGGCTCTCTTCGCTGAATTGTCGCTACGTAAACGTTTCTCCAGGCTCGAATCCATGAATATGCAACCAACTCGAAACAACGAAGCTGTTCATTCTTGAATGCGAGACCAGTTTACCCAACAACGTGTCTGCTACAGGTGTCTTCGTATACCTACCCCACTCTACCTCCGTTTCTGGTTGCGTGCCGGATCCACGATCACCGCAAATGATCCGGTAGTCATTCGCGTATAGAAAATTATTATAGATAATGCAGAAAATGTTGGGAATCCCCTGGTGCAATAGTCGTTCTACCTTGTAACGTCTACCGAAAGCTTGGCGTGTAAGTAGAGCAGGGTTGTAAACTGTGGTTAAGGATTTCTGCGTCGTTTCGCTTTAATCTATTACAGGCTTGTTTATACTCAAAATTTTCCGAGTAATCCGTGTATTATAATCGCAATTTATCGCTCACGGATACATTCATTTGGTATTACGCGTTAAGTCGCTTCGTGTCGTTATAATTCAATCTGTAACTGGCAAATAATTTATCCGAAAATCATTGATGAACGTGTTTTATTAGATTTCGATGTTACGCTATTTAATAGAGGAGATTAAAGTTCGTTGCATCGCCTCTTTAACGACGGCGCCTGTTCTTAATTATTTTTCCGATACTCGTGGAAAATGAACGTCCGCGGCTTTCCTAATTAACATTGAGAAATGTATGACGTTATTCCGCGTTTCCTGTAACATCGCCGGATATTGTACGATAGTAAAGACCGATCCATCTCGCAGATAGAAAACGTAAAAGCACCGACTGTTTCTGATGTTTATTAAAACACACGAACGTATCGGTCTCAGGGCGAAGGACAAAGGATCCTTTGAAAATTTCATTCGACGATGAATTTAATAATGCAAATGATACTCGGTTGACTTGTAACTTCATTTTTCATGTACGCGTCACTTAACCCCTAATCTACGTAACCCACTGGGCATCAATTTCAATTACACTCCGACCTTGCGTTTTTTTAGACGAAGCGTGTAATTAGGAAACTGCCAGTGGCCTAATTTCCTTCGCAGCTCGACTCTCTTTAAAAGTACAGATTTTCGCGGTATCATTTTTAGAAGAATCGACGAACAAATTGTTAAATAGACTATCGTCATTTATTTTCAAAAAAAAAAATACCTAGCGAAAAAGATATCGTTTCAAAGAAGACGAAGCAACAAAGAAATGAATTACCTTTCGCCATTACGCTGACTTCGATAAGCTCGTTAAACGTCTTCCTGCTTTGTCCCCGCGAAATATAATCCGTATTCTTTTGTCCGGAAGAATAAAACGAGCGACAAGATGCGGAGTATCGTCGCGATGAGAAACTCTACAAAAGTCTAAAACAATTCACGAGGACTTTGGTTAATCTGGAAACGTCGAAACGAGCAGTATTATCGCGGCACAGTTATTCATATCGCAAATGAAATGATTTTAACGATACAATGCGACACTGGCCTCGGGCGAGATATTTGAAAGATTAATCGCAGAGCATTTTCATTATTGCCGGACCGATAATATTGAAACTTTAATACCACTCCTATCGAACCGAAAGCTCGTGTCAGATCGAACGACGAATTCCCCCAGGTCAGGTGCCTGTTTCTGTCGTGCAGTCCCCGGATATCCGCCCCTGCCACCTGTAAGCTTCGCCATGCTAAATTTAATCGCGATACTAGAAAAGTAACGATCGTAATATTACTCTCTCTAATCGTAGCTCACCTTTATTAAACTCGCCGCGTTAATTAACGCGTTCCTGATAGTTGCATAAGACGCAGATTTTCCTGCCAAAAATGTGCAACCGGATGTCTGGTTCGGCTCACAGCCAGGCGGGACCAATAAACCATCCCCTTCCGTGAAATAAAATCCTCCTCGCTCAGAACTTGTTATCCTCGCGTATTCTTCGTTTTACCTCGTTATTTCGGAACGTATGTAGCGCACGACACGCGTTGATCGACTCGGCTGGCAGCAACATTTTCGTAGCGTATCCACCGGTGGAAAGAAGCGAAAAAAATATATTGTTTCTCATTATACTCGAAGTCGCAGAGATTCCCGCGAGTTTGGTGGTTCGTGGCCAACGGAAAATTGAAAACTATAAATTTCCCTCCCCTCCTCTCGAGCACAGATTCCACTATTCCGCGAAGAGTATGCTTTGAAACGCGCCGCTGATGAACAATGCGAGCGGTAACAAGGTTGAAGAGCGTCATTATCATCGAGCACGAGCGAATCGTCAACAGCGTCGATAACAGTGGTAATTAAAAGAGATAGCGAGTTTCAATTAAAAACGGTATTCAGGCCAGACCGAAACTTAATAACATTATCAAACTGACTGATCCGGCGAATTTCAAAGTTCCGTGTCATAAAGGAGTAGAATGGGACGGAGGGTTGAAAAATGAGGCCGAAAAGGAAGCGGAAGGTAAAGAAGAAGAAACGGTCGTTCGGCGATGAGGAGCGGAACGAAGGGAACGGGACGGTACGAAACGGAACGGAAGGGAATAAGGAAAAAGGATAAAGGATAAAGTAGAAAGCGAGCAGAAGAGGAGGGTCGGGTATTAAGGGTTGGTGGCGAGAGCAGCGTATGCGCATGGGGATGAACGGAGAGGGCAGGCCGTCGGTGTCCCCCTCCAACGGTGGTTCCCCCGATCTCTCTCGAACGCGCGAGCTTCGGGATTCGAGGTAGTGTGGAAACTCGAGCAGACAGCCAGTCGTTCGCCGTTCGTTCAACAACGTGGCTCGATAAGTGTTGTCTCGGCGATCCAGATAAACCGCGAGCACCAGGACGAAGGACGATGAGGAGCAGCAAGGCGACGGCGATGCCGCCCCTGCTCGTTCGATCTTCGGGAAAGTGGTCGAACGTGGTCGGTCAGGAAGTCCGATAGAATACCCGATTCGCCTCCGGTACGAATGTTATTCATCGCCGCGGAATCCACAGGTATCCTAGCGGCGTCCTCCTTCAATCGTGTTCCGTCGACCAGCTCTTCTACACCCGTTCGTTCGTCCAGTGAATTCTACCCATAGAACTGTCGATTTATTCCGTAACGCGTGTGAATTGTTTCAAGTGCGTTCGTTTGATTTCACGATTCATCGAGAGCGAAGATCGATAGGAGGAATCGAGAAAGGCACGGCGATGGATTAAGGGAGGCGTAAATTGCGCCTGGCTGGTAATACCAGAGAAGGACTAGACGCGAATCGGGAAAAGAATGTCCGGTGTAATTGCTTTCGATTGTGCGCGATCGAATGGAAAGCACGCTGGGCTTTCACGAATTCTGCCCGACCAAAGAATTCCCGGCGTTCGACGTTAGAATAGTTAAATTTCTTGCTGGGACGAATTCAGCATCGATTGGCCGGATCGAGGATCGACCGGTCTAGTTTCAAACAACGCCAACTGATGCCCAATTAAAACGATCATCCTGGCGTGGTTTAAAGCAATCGACGTGATCGTTTAACGTAGTAAAGCAGGAAGGATAAAGTCTGTTCGGGAAAGTCGGATGAAAGGAACTTTGCGTGGAACGAGGTTCGCGGGAAACGTAATAAATCGAGACGGCACAATGTCAACGCTTTCGAACCCATCCACTGGTATGATGCGAGGTTTTTGATCTGGTTGCTGAAAAATATTGAATCGATGTTCCGTTGGTGGGTGAATGGCGGGGCTTAGGACGACTTCCGTGTATCCTATGGTCGGGTTGCGCTGCTCCGGATCATCCCTCTGATACACACGCGGAACAGACAGAGAGAAAACGGTCGGGGAGGGGTGAGGATAGGCACTCGATAGACTCCGGCACTCGACACGTCTTGCGCAGAATATGAGGAAGACACGAGGAGAACTTGACGACGAACGCGTGACACCATGAGGAAATTCTCTCGTGAATCGAGTTACAGTTGGATCCCTTCTTGTTAAACTCGACGATACGCGTCGTTATATAGTCTTGTGCGAGGACTAGAGGAGTGTTTGTGTAACCGGTCGGATCGAAGTAACACCAACGCGACGAATAATCATGGATAAAGTTTATTCTACAGGCAAAGGTGTCACGAGCTTGCTCGATGGTGAGTAACGATCGAACGATTCATTCAAAGCATTCCGCTTTGCCGCGATTTTGCATGGAACGTTCTCTTGACCGAGAAATGCTCCGGCGTGTCAAGGGTCTAGCCATATGCGATTTGAATTGCTAAGTGGACCTTATCCACCATTAATTAAAAAGTGATTTGACAGAAAAGCGAGGGGAGAAAATTTACTTCGGCCTAATAAAGGCTGGTTAAAGGGGATATAAACAGGGGAAGATATCGAAGGTGCATATGGAATACGAAATTTCTTTTTATTCGATTCGATGTATCAGCAGGAAAATTTTATGAATAATTATTATTATCGAATAATATGTTACAGATTTTCGGATTATCGATGGTACCGTTTCGATAGTAAGCTTTCAAAAATCTATGAGAACAAGTGAAATTTATTTAACGAGAGGCTTTAGCAGACTTCCCGCTATCATAATTTTCAACCCGTCAACGCCGTTCGGTTTCGATTAGAGAGATAAAGTCGGATAGCGTGTGTAAAGTAGCAGATATTCGTAATCTCGCGAGTCAGGAACGTTTTGAATTAACGCTTGTTCCGGAATCTCGGCAAGAACAGGATAAGCCGCAAGAGTAATGACCGTCGAATCTCGTGCTGTCGACCTTATTACGGCTCGTTCTACTGTCGGACGTAAATGCGTGCGCTTACTACTTAAAGCGATAAAGGTATAGTTGCATCCTAATAATCGCTTCGAAATATTTCAAGAACCGTAATACCCGAGAGATGAAAGCTTTAATCGCGTTGTTATCTTCGAATTAAATTACAAACATTGAAAGAGAACTTTGACCAGCAAAGGGTAGTTTTCATTACAAAAATTTAACAAGCAAGATTTTACTTAAATAGCAAAATTTCTTATCTTGTAAAGGGAAATTTTCTTTCGCTAAATTCGAGATGGTATCCGTTACCTGTTGCACCCCTTGTCATTGCACCTTCTCCACCGATACTCTAAAGAATAAATCCACGGGAAGCTTTTTAAAGAATCCACCTCCTCCAGATAAATGCTTTCCAACTGCACCACCCGTTCTGTTTCTCGCCTAAATAATTGCGACACTCTAAATTCATTGAAAAACAGAAGGAACGTCTTCGTTCGAGCGGAATTCCTTGCCAATTGCGCACAATTAATTAAAAGCATTACGAGCCTAATTAATCTAAGTCGAGCTTGCCACGACACAGGGCCATCTTTTTCCCCTCCTTGATGCATCGTACTTTGCTTTTCTCCGTGTTGCAAGTAAGCTGAAAGAACGATCAATCTTAGTGACTGCGATTCCATTTCTTGCTCGCCAGAAACCACCGCCGCACAGAATGAATTGCATATTGTGTTTCCATCGGGAGACGCGAAAACCCTGTCTGCTTTCCGTCACCGGTTGCATTATCCATCTACGATTCTATGTGCGTTGGCAATTTCGCGAAAGGTACGTCGAAAAGGGTGTCCCAGACGCCTAGATCTTTGCTGCAGACCCGAAGAATGGATCTCGATGCATTCACCGCTCGTGCCAAGGAACGACTGAATTCTTTGGAATCCATCGGTGTTAAACATTCGCCGTTTTCTCCTCGAAACGAGGAAGAAATTCCAGCGGCACGTAATCCTCCATATTCGCGCAAATCTCTCCTCTCGAATTATTTATCTCGGTAAATTTTTCGGGTGGAAGCAATTTGATTTTCCTGCTTAAACACTTGTAAAAATCCCGATCAAACGGCACCGTGTAAATTTTCGTTCCGCGTGAAAGTTTAACGCAGCACGCGTGTAAAATAAATTGGATGCTTCGCAGAGGCGGACGTGATCGATGGAAAATTTACACTGCATTAACCGAGGTATTCATGTCGAAAAAAAAATCGTAGGCCAGGTTCGTGTCCTTCTGATTAGCATACAGGCGAAGGACACCGTAAAGAAAGACGGAAAAAGACGAAATGGAAGGAGAGTAGGGAGAGTAGGTGAAATGCCAGAGCTTTCATCGGGAACGAAATTTCAACACTGCACACTTCACTCAGAATTATATCGTTACTTTGCATATTTACATATTCAGCAACGACACCAGAAGGAAATGCATCTCATTTCGTTGCGATTAATCGCGTTCCTCGTTTGAAAATTGCTACTCTCTAAGCCTGTACGTTTTTATCAAACAATGTAGAACCATTTTTCGTAAATCGTGAATTTTTACCGCGGAGCTTGTTGATTGGAAAGTCGCGTGATATGGAGATAGAAAAGTGACGTTTTGAAATATCTCGTCGAAGGCCGATATAAAATTTCGCATGGCAGAGTTTGGTTTAACCGATGTCCATTCTTTCGCTGACGTTTAGCACCGACGCTTTTTCCGCAATAAAAACTGTCATTGAAAAAGTAGAAGCGGATGGTAAACGATACGTATCGTATTAAAGGCGGAGGAGCTATTTAAGCGCAAAGGAAACAGAAAAAGACAAGGGGTAGAATCGCGAAACAAGCTGTTTCATTTCCTGCATCAGGCTTTTATGCTTCTGTTCTGTCGTTGTTCGCAGATATTGCACTAGCTATATTTCATCCCTGAAAGTTCGCCGATTATTTTGTATCAACTTTTAGTTTTTCCTCCTTGAAACAATTCGACGAAATTGAACGCTGACGCGACAGTTTGAAAGACGCGAGACTGACGGATAGGCTGTCGATACGATTGAATCGGTTCGGAGAGAGTATGTAGAACAGGAAAATGGAGGGTCCCAGGAGATAAGTAGATGATTTCTGTCCTTAAGAGGGTCCTAAAGTCCCTCGGTATACTCGGTTCAAGCGTTTCGAGATTTTTCTTCCCTCTTTCTCACCGTGTGTATGCCGGAAGGGCCGGGAGAAACACTATAATGTCTGTTCATCTGTCAATTCACCCCTGCTGCGTGCGTGGCTGTCTGGCTGGCTGGCTGTCTCCCTTCGATTCTTTTTATTTCGCGCGAGGAAAAGCGCTTGCTACTTTAGCGATAAGTAAAGGAAAACCAGCCGGTTCGAGAAGCGGGCGTGAGTTTTCTTTTAATTCCGAGATTGCGCGACGACATTCGTTTCGAACGGATGAACGCGGTCCGTGATTCATGGATATTCCGTTCTCGCTTTAAGAAGCTCGAACGATAGGCTTCCTCCGGCTGGGTCGTATAATTCAATTCGAACAATAGAAACGAGGCAATACAATCTTCTCTTTGTTGCTGCGCGATAACGGGCCGCTTACAGGGTAAGCGTGTGCGCGCGGCTTCAGCAGTTTCCGCGATTATAGACTTTTGGTTTCGCTAAGCTCGCCTTCCAACTTTCAACGACCGGAAATCCTGGAAACGGGAAAAACTCGTACCGACCGTTGTCGCGCGAACGAAGCTCCTTTAATATTTAATTTCAAAAATCTCAACTATTTAGGTTGCGTTTTAATTAAACTTTTTTTAAAGATCCCGTCGCGTCGGGAAAATTAAGATACAAGCCGATGGCTCGTTGGCAAGCGGATCGAATCACGCGACACGCGAACGTTTCCATTCCAACAGAGGGTAGCGATAACACTGACTAACGCCTTTTTTCCCCCCTTTTCGTTGCAGAGATTCACGACGAGGGATTTCAATGATACGCGTCTGAGACTGGGGTGGTCGCGGTGATCGGCGTGAGGGAAAGCGGTCGGTCGGTCGCGTGGAGGATCTTATCGGTTGTCGCGCGCGATACGGTGCGTCGCGCAGAAGGAACAGCCGGAACGAAAGGCTCGGACCCGCGGGCTTAGATAACGGCCACGAGGATGCCAGACAAAGTCGAGGGAACGGGAGCACAGCCAAGACGTTTCAAGATCTCGTGATCGGTATCAGAACAGCGGGGACCACGAAATGGCCAGCAAGACGAACGAGTCTTTCGTTAGGTCCATCCTGAGGAACCTGTCGTTGGACCAGACGCAACGTCCAACCGATATGTTCACGGTGAACGGGACGAAAGACGCCGGGATCGTGCGCGACGAGGAGATCGCGCTGAACGATGTCCTCTCGAAAAGCGACAAAGACGATTCGAGCAGCGGCATCGAGTTAGGTTGGTACAATGACTCGACGACGATCGCTTCGACGCTATCCGGTTTCCTATTCGGTGTCCCATCGTCGTCGTCGTCGTCCTCGTCCCTGTTTTCCTCGTCGGCCAGTTCGGAAAATTACACCGGCATATCGGACCTGTTCGTCTTCGAAGACCTGAACGATTACATCAATCGGCTGAATTACAGCGCTTTCGCTAATTTGACGGCCTATTACGACGGAGGGGCTAATTCGAGCGTGAACGGGAGCGTGAATTGCACGTCGTCGATAGTCGCGGGCGGGGGAGTAGCGCGAGTCAACGATTGCGCAGCGGCCGACGTGGACGAGAAGACAAACGCGAACAGCTGGTGGGCACTGATCCTGGTGATCGTGCCCTGCTTGACGCTCTTCGGTAACGTGCTCGTCATCCTCGCCGTGGTTCGAGAGAGGGCTCTGCAGACCGTCACAAACTACTTCATCGTCAGCTTAGCTGTCGCCGATCTGCTGGTCGCTGTGCTCGTCATGCCGTTTGCCGTCTACGTTTTGGTGAGTGCCATTTTCATTTTTGTGTTTTATGCATGAGTAACAGATTTTTTGGAATTGTATATTTTATAAAAGAGAATACCATGTTCGCTTCTTAAACGGGTGCGAACGAAGTATGTCTGTTTTTATTTTCTGCCCGTAAACAACGAGCTCGTCGCTCGGACTTTGAGAGGCGAAGTTCGCGACAGTTTTTGCAATTTTCGGAGGTTTCGCTATGTTAACCACGAAACCGCGAGGCTCTGTTAAACGATACGTTTCGTCGTTAATTACGAGCTCTTTGTCTCGACGGAACGTATAGCCGAGTCGGTTATTATCTCGGCGCGGTTAATGAAATCTGGTTCGAGGTTAAAACTTCTTCGGTATTCGCAAACGAACTTTTCCTGGTAATTAAAGGCTAGTATTACTTCCAGACTAGCGCAGTTCGAGCTCTGCTTTTGTTACGGTTCATTCGGCGCTCGAGTACGTCATATTTACGATCTCGCGAATTCGCGTTCAACTTTCGTTAGATTCCTTATAGTTCAACCAGTAGAGATAATCATTCCCTTTCTGTCGAAAAATAACTAAACAATCCCTAATTTAGCGCTCGAGGAACTATCAATTGTTCGGAGAACTAGTTATCGAACAAACGACTGTTTTGTACGGATCCGGGCGTTTCCGTATTTCGGATACGTAAGCGAATCAAACGAAAATAGGATTAGTTAATTAAAGCAATTTGAGTAATTCTTGGGGCGACGGGGCCGAATCTCGCCGATAACGGATGACCTACTTCCGCTCGGAATGCTCTTGCTGGCTTAATGCACGGATGTCAAACCGATACGTGTAACGGAAGTATTCTTTGACGCGTGTTACGTTTATTTAACAATCGTTCTATTTGCGTTCGAAGGCAAACTTCAAACTGGCTGCAATATTTCCTAGCGGATTTATTTTATTTCGTCGCGCAATCATTTCGTCGCCGGTATATATTTCACACGTTGGATTCTCAGGGCATCTGGTAATCGTAATTTTTCACCCGAAACGCGTACCGATGTCGTTCGATGAAACTTTACGTTTCCGTTGAAATATTTTTTGTCGGCTTCGAACGATAGGTAAAAATTTTAATAACGACGGTATCGATGATAAAATAAAACACTTTTGGAGCATATCCGTCAAAGAGTTAGTCTTGCGGGATAAAAGAAGATAATAATTCTATGATTGCGACACGATGAAGGTGGATCGTGAGAGAAGAGCAGGAGGAAATTTCGGATTGAAGGATCGTAAAAATGTCGTAAACGTTGAGTCTCAGGTTGCCGAGTTATTCGTATTCCATGCGTCTAGCACATTTTTCTCGAAACTTTTATTTAGCTCGCTCGAAACGACGCGACGGCTTGACGAAAATTTCGCCGACCGTTCGATTTATTCGCACGACCGATTTATCCTCGGAACGGCTCGCATATCTAACCCGACTCTTGGCGTTGACAACTTGCCCGAACTCTCTGCTTCGTTATTAGTAATCGAATCGGTGCGAGAGTCTGCGCGTTCCTCGATTATGCAGCCGCATACGCGGATTACCTTAATTATTGATTCACTTGAATCCTTTAATTATCGAGCCATTCGGGTAATCCGAAGGGCCGATACTCGAGGCAGGAAAATCTTCTGGATCTTTGTTTCGCTTTCTTTCGTGATCCACGATCGTCACGCGATCATCGCGTGAAAGGGATGTTCAACGTCACGAGCTTACGTCGCCGTGGTCATTATTTCCGCGCACGTGTTGTTTCCCTTCGTCTCTGTTCTAATACTAATTATCCTTTCGTTTGAACAACGGCCGGGTGTAATTTATAAGCAGGGAATACAGTTTATTCCATGCGACTGATACGGAGGGTAATAACCGTTAAAGATACCTACACACCGCTTAGAACGTGCACGAAGGTCTCTAAAATTGGTTACGTTATATTAAAAGCGAATTATCCGGTGAAAATTATTTCCACGAGTTCCTAAAGCGCGCCCATGCTATTCGTAAATAAATGCTTTCGTTAGAAGGGAAATTTTCCAGCGATTCAATAAAACGCGTTGGCTACGTTATTTAAGCAGGTATGCATGCAGCTCGCTCGAACGGATTTCGATTTTCTACACAAAAATTTCCGATCGTTTATCGATGCCGGCGGCGTACCTTTAATTACAACACGGATAATTCCCTCTTGGTTCCCGCGTTTTTACCGTTTCTTTCGCGGTTCTTTTCAGCCGATACAATGGCTACCGTCAGCCTCCAGCCGGCCTCCATCGAGATAATAAAACCGAGACGTCCTAGGCTGGATATTAACGCGATGCAGCGTACTAAAATCCCTCGTTGACCGCTTAAACGATCGTTCGCGAGTTTCGCATTAAACGGTTTAGCGACGCGCGTGTGTGCCTGTAATGCGTCGGAACGATAATGTCGCGATGCGAGTGTCACAGCACGGTCGAAGCACTTTACCCCCTTGCCAACCCGCTTTCTCCGCTTTCACCGCTTCTTCCCTTCCACCAGAATTTAACGTTCTCGAAATTCTTCATTCAGAAAATAGCTCAATTTCGAACGGGTTAACCGGCGCGCCACAATCTTCCTTTTAAAGGTTAATAATATTTAGTTAAGCTTTCTTTTTACGGAAAGTTCGTGGAAAGTGCACCCATGGGTGCAGCTCGTCAAGGTTTTCTACTGGCGAGCTAACGCTGATTGGTAATTCGTTTTTATCGGCCCTCTGCTAGTTCTAAGCTTCTACTGTTACATGCTTCGTGAGTTTGTTAAAACATTTAAAATTCTTATTTCAATGTTATACGGGCTATTTTTGGACTCTTTAATGGTCATCTGTTCCGATAAGATTTAAATTTCTCGTGAAACGTTCTCTTCTCTCTGGGAGGATCTTTTGAACAGAAACGAACGAAATTAATTAAGTAAAGAATGTTGAGAATGAAATATACTTTTTCTCGCTATTCTCTCCATTGTCGACTATTTTCCGTATTGTCACCGTTCAATCGATGTCCTTTCCTGTTAGTTGTAGTTTATGCTCCAGTAATTTCTCGTCCAATTTTCTCGATTATTACGTGTTCCATCTTGATTTCTTTATCAAAGAGCGACGGACGTTTCTTTTTAACGCGATGCAAAAAAACGATCTAGGTGTCTTTGCATTTATTTTACTTTGTTAGACGGTATCGACACGCCTTGATCGGTGCATTCTTCAAGCTGCACCCTCCAAGTCTTCCTTACTTCCGCTAGTATATCTACCCCGGGGCCGGTGTCGTCGTAAATCTTCCCTCGAATTTATGCACGCCGCTGTTCGTTTGTCATTAGCGATACATTCGTGACAATGCGGCTAGTCGCGGAAACGACACGTCCGTTTGAAGCGCGACCCTGATTTTAATTGAAATCTAAATCAAGCGATTCGATTTACGAGGGGTATTTCGGTATTTTATCGAGTGATAAAATAGAAAAAGAGTTTCGTGATCGCGTTTGTTGGTTCGTGAACGAGGTAGACACTTCGGGAAATCGGTTCCCCAGCAATTCCCTCTTGCTATGCCTGTAATTTCCTTTCTTCGACCACCTCTTCGTCTTTCTTCGACCCTTGGCCATCGTTTACCTTAACTGCGGGACCGATCGAAACGTCGCGTGCCCCATCGAACACGTCCAAAACAAAATTCGCCAGGGTATTATTGGAATTTTCGTATAGCCGCGCCCGCGATCCGAGGTAGCGGAGAGAAAATTGCGAAAGGATTGCTGTTGTGCCAGAGGCTAGGTGGAGAAGGGGTGAAAAGGCCGTAGGAGGGTTCCGTCGAGAGGGTGCTGGCGTGACCGCGGGCAATTTCAACCCGTTTTCCTCCGGTTGCCTTCGTAATACCTCGAATCGAAGGTAGCCTCACCACTCAGCCGTTTTACGAAGTGGAATAACACGGTAGATCGCCAGCCGGGACAAGGTCTATGTTAATAACACAGATCACTTCATCGCATGCATGCTTATTACTTGGCCAGCTAGATTCGATTCGTGTTGTGCACATAGGTTAAAGCGTCGCTCGTGCCGATAGCATGAATATTAATGCCGGCCACCGAAGGAACCGGCTTCACTTTTCTTCTGGGAATAGAACGTAGTCGCACGTGAAAACAACGAAACACCCTGACCTTGTCAGCCTGCATAAGCACGAGAATTATCTGTTCTTCATAGGCTTTCGCGAGCTTCCCTCCGCGTTATTTCAACGTTTGAATTTTAAAATATTCCAACTTTGCCTTAATTATTACTCTACACGTAGCTGGTAAATGTTCGAGGAACACGCAGTCTTCCGTTTCGAATCAAAGCTGAATCTAAATTCAGAAAAAGGAACGGGTAGTTTATTCAATTTCGATACTCGACCGAAGATCCAGACGTTAAAACGACCAGATATCCTCGGATTCTTTGCGTTTTCTCGACGAGACCCGAGCGAATTTAAAGTCGAACGTGTCGGCGATAAATCACGGGGTCGTATATAAACGGCCGGTTGAACTAAACCCTCTACGTCGAGCGCAATGTGCGCGCGTCGCGACGCGAGGCGTCGAGCCTTTCACAGGCACCAGCTCGCCACTCCTTTCACAGCGGCATTTTCGAGCCGCGAAATACGCCGACGTCTTTGTTACCCCTTTGCCTTCGCGATATTCTACCTTACCGCCATAATTTCGAACCACTCCTGGCCCATTCATAATTTCCATCTACCTTTATTCCAACCCTTCGTTCCGGTTTTCACTGCTAGCGCCGTTCGTGCGAAAATAAGAAACGCGGCCCGAGTAACAATGATATAACGTGTTCCATCTTCGGTTAGATACACACACATAGTTTGTTCGAGCGTCAAGCGGTCGATCCCTCGGGCAGCGGGAAACAAAAGGAGGTTAAATACTGATTTACAAGGCCGACGCGGAAAGGATGCGAAATCCTAAGTGGAGAATCGAGAATTATGGAATACGGGGTTAATTTGTCCTTTTTGTAATTGAAGACGCTTTGACCGTGGCTCTTCAGCTTGAAACCCTCGAG